TGAATTATGAACCCAATATCATTTTCAGTATCATGAACCCTTTTAATTTTCGGAATTATGAAACCTTTTTAATTTTCTGAATTATGACCTTTTTTTCATTTTCGGAAATATGAACCCTAATTCATTTTCGGAATCATGAATCCTTAGTGGGGGTGTCGCCCCCCGCCCCCCTCCCTCCTTTAGCGACGCACCTGTCTACACTCAAAAAGCCTGAACATGAACATTCTTTCAAGTCATTATTTATTATGATTCAGAATTAGTTACTTCCATATTACTTAAAGAAATGTTAATGCGTCGTACAAACGACGTTATAACATCGTAAGAACCACGCAAGATTTTTGTACATTTCGTAGGGTTGAGAGAAAAGAAGCCTCAAATTCCTATGATGATCATAAGAACACCTTCAGTTGTTAATAGAGGGCTCTTACGGCGTTCTTAAGGTACTTGTAAGGTGTATGTACACAATATATGCAGCGCTTTTTTGCAACCCGACAAAATATACAAAAAAATCATAAGATCTTCTTACGAATGACTTGAGAATGCCCTTCAGTTACACATACGACCATGTTGCGAGAACAAAAGATTGTAAGATGGCCGTAAGTCTGACGTAAAAAGAACTCAACGCATTCTTACAGAAAATAACGAAATATTAAACCGGAACAAGGACGTGAAAAACTATGGCCATATACGAAAAGGCCTTGCCTCCCAGGCTGTGAGGAGAGGGTCATGGGCTGTCTCGACCTCCTTAATTCTTGTTAATGTTCGTTTGTTGTTTAGGTACCTTTTTCTATTTTCGGAATTACGAACCCTATTTAATTTTCAAAATTATGAACCCTTTTTGATATTCGGAGTTAATAAAACCCTTTTTAATATTCGGAAATACGAACCTTCGGAATTATGAACCCTTTTAAATGTTCAATTATCCCATTATCATTTTCCGAATTATGACCCCTTTTTCATTTTCGGAATTATGAACCTTTTTCATTTTCGGAAATACGAACCTTCAGAATCATGAACCTTTTTAATTTTCGGAATTATGAACCCTTTTTTCATTTTCTGAATTATGAACCCAATATCATTTTCAGTATCATGAACCCTTTTAATTTTCGGAATTATGAAACCTTTTTAATTTTCTGAATTATGACCTTTTTTTCATTTTCGGAAATATGAACCCTAATTCATTTTCGGAATCATGAATCCTTAGTGGGGGGTGTCGCCCCCCGCCCCCCTCCCTCCTTTAGCGACGCACCTGTCTACACTCAAAAAGCCTGAACATGAACATTCTTTCAAGTCATTATTTATTATGATTCAGAATTAGTTACTTCCATATTACTTAAAGAAATGTTAATGCGTTGTAAAAATGCATTGTGTTTTCTTAATTTTGCATGGAATGTGAATAAAAACAACCAATTAATCCACGACATTTCTATTGAAGTATGTGTGTATTGGGTTTTTACAGACGTGTATCAATCAGATATGATTATTCACGTCTGGGGACCGACCTTTTAACGTCACCATCCGAATGACGTGACTAAGTTTCGAACCTGCGTCCTCGGCTGAATCAGTTTGTAACTTCCACTTTTAGCTGGATTACATACAGGCGCACGCCACAACGCCTAGTTGGAGAACAATCATTCTTATCCTTTTGACTGAAAATGTGATTGTGAATGAATTCGATATGTTGTTTTTTGTTTAATAAACCATCTAATTCAACTTCATTTGTACCAATCTGGCTCTTACAAACACTGTAGACTAGGGCCCACAAGGAGAAAAGTATTAATACTGATAAGGCTACCCTTCGTGACCGAGACATATTATTATCATCATCATTTTATTGTACATTTACTGTTTTTGAAAATCATACCATATAAAGAGGCCAAAGTTAATATTCAACATTATGTATGACAAAACGCGTTGTAAAAAAAGTCAAATCATTCAAAGGCGGGGAATTTCCATCATGTTTTTGTCACTCTATTCACAGGTGGGCGTTGGGAATTTTTTTTTATGCACAGAAAAAGTCACTCAGAATTGCAAGGTGACGTGTACTTTATGGCGCGCACGTTATTTTTTTTAAAGGGGCACGGGCTGATTACCCTCCCCCTAATCCATCTCTGCTTATTATTGATAATCGTATGGCGGGATAACGATCAGGTCTAGCCGAAAAACAAAGGGGTAGATTTTACTCGTGTGAATTATTGCGATTAAAATGTGTTCGCTTCTATTGCTATAGCCTCGCAAAACTACCTCAATTGTAATATTCAAGTGGCTGTGTAGATCTTGCAACCCGTCTCCTAGTAAAATATATGGGGATAATGGCGCCCGTGGCTATATAAGAGTAGGGTTCCCCACTCCCCCCCCCCCCCCCCACCACCACCACCACCACCGTCCCCACTGTCCAAGCTTGTCGACTGTAAAAGAGTAAAAAGCGACCTGCGGCAGATTTTTTAAATAAAAACTTTAACCCTTAGCCCCGTAGGAATTGATAAGTGTTTCTCAATTTACTGCTTCCTCGAATGGAGCTCAAATTGATGAAAGATTGCAAAACTATATTCGAGTAAATAAGCATGGTTGAAGATCCTTTCAAATGTGAACCCTTGCTAATACGTGTACCATTATTACCTTTTTCTTAGCAGTTGGGCGCAATAAAGGCTGATGAAGCTTCTGTAACAAGGAGCAAAGCAACGAGAATATCATTTTTTGGAGCGTTCAAAAACTCAATTTATAAGCTATATTTCCGATATTGCTGTCAACATCGCGAGATCCTGAAGAACAAATGCGAGCGAGCAAAGAGACTAAGCTTTGGATTTGTTTCCTCATTTTAAACTCTCAACTCTTTTTTTAATAATTCTGTACCATGCGTAGTGAAGGAGCAAATAATCCTAATATCTTCTATTTCTCTCCTGTATGTTCTCTCTTTTGCGTTGTTTTTGTATTGTTTTTTATTTCGCCCACTTCAAGTAAAGTCCGGGGCTCGTTCCCCCTACCATTCCCCGTGTATACATCGCCGCCCTCCCACCTGAGTAATGTACAATTGTGTGAAAAAGAGGGATGACTGCAATACTCCAGCTCAGCTTCTCATTCAGGAATTCCAATCTGTATGTTACATCTTTTGTTGTGTAACCCGCCCTTGGGAAACCCACATAATAGGCCCGTTCACACATAACAATTAGTGCCATTTGATCGCGATTCAAAGATTTTTTTTTTGAGACCGTGCACACATTTCAATTTAGTGCGAATTGGATCGCGATGCAAAGATTTTGGGGGAACATTCACACACAGGGAGAATTCTCGCACGACAGCAAAAACGTCGAATTGCACATCCGCGAATCTCGACGACGTATGCATGCTTGGAATCCTGGGATTAAATAAATCGATTTTTGATTCTCAATACCATTCGGACACACAGCGCCCGGAAACTATCGCGCTTATTCTGAAAAATAGCAGTAACTACTGCGAATTGGATCGCGATGCGAATCGCGAAGAATTGTTCGGTCCACACACGTAAAAAGAACCGATTTTTGGATCGCGATGCAAAAGTCGATTTTTTTTAAATATTTTTTTAAATATTTTTTAAAAATAAATCTCTCCTTTTCTGTAGGTGTGAACTACCCTGTTGTCTGTTTTTCGCGTGCGTATTGGCATGCGGGGTAAGCACGTTTGTTTGGAGATAAAAGACATTATTAACTCAAGATAAAATGTACACCCCATTGCCTATGTTAGTGAATCATGAAAGCTGCCTTATTCGGCCGAAAACATGACAACAATAGTCGTAATAAAGGATATGGAATTTGAAATGATTTTATAAGCTCACTTGGTGATAAGTGACATGAAAAGAAGTTTAAAAAAAGATTATATCGATAAACAGTTTTGTATACGAAATATGGCGTCGTCTGTACTTTGTGTGCGTTATTCTTTACATTTACACTGCGTACATGTTGTACAATTACATCTTTATGTTTCAACATTTCAATGAAATATGACAAATGAGATTTTCCGTTTTTAATGCGTTACCTTTGTATTCCTATTAAACAATGTTTCGTGAGAGATTAATATTTGATAAAATCTTCGAGATATCTGACATTTGTTTGAAAACTACCTCCCTCAATTTGTGAAAAGTAACGAGACGTGAGCTGGAGACTGAGAGTACGACAAAAGGAAATCATGCAATCGTCTTCAAATAAAAAAGGGTAATTGTAAGAATCACCCCCTTACAATATTTTACGGGCTACATACAAATTCTACGTGATATTGCGTAACAAATAGTTGGTGATAAGATCCACTAACCTTACCGGATTTGGCTCGACTTTTCTGCAGTCGCCATCTGAATTCAGGCAAGTAAATTTATGCATGGCTTAAAGTTGCCTTTTAACATCGGTCTTTTAGCTATTAAGTAGATGCATTATTTCTGCATTAAAGCAGCCAATTAAATATCACAATGAAATTATAATTGTTTCTCATTATATACGAAGAGGTTTATGGCATTTTCCTAACTTTCAAATAATCAACTCGTCATCACATTAAAATGATGAGTAATTCGTTTTCAGATTATAGATTTTTCATCCCAAGTTGTATTTTTTGTACATGTATAACCGATTTATGTTATATAGTGTTGAGCTATACGTTCACAACAAATGACAGCATGTGTGTGCGCAAGCATTATGTATTGTATGTCGTGTAACTGCAAACTTGTTTTTCTGTCTCGTGTGCCTTCGGTCAACGGGGCTGTTCCCCCCCCCCCCCCCATGGCTACGCCACCGCCCTCCCCACACCTAAATCCCCCAGTGTTTAGTATTTCAAAACTGTATGACAAAGAGGGATCACAGCAAGTCAAAACACGAAATCGGGGGATTTTCCTAAGACTATTATGAATGACGATTATTTTGAATAGCGCCACGTATTGCTATGACATCACTTAACAAATCCCCTCAGAATCTTGCGTAATATTGTGACGTGCCACTGGAAATCACCCTTCTCTCACGCACAAACACACCCACACACACGTATTTATTATCTGCCTCCAATCTCCAATCTCCATTCTCCGTTTCGTCGATCATAAGCTCCGCATCCTATCTCCATGCACGCTCTCCATCGTAAGCTCCACATCCGATCGCATCATCTCAATGCACGTTCTCCATCGTACATCTACCTGAAGTGAGAACTATTATTATCTGAAAAGGTATGTATTTTTAGAACAGAGAATATTTAAATATATTATATTCAAATTGTTTTCAAATATCTTCTCGTTTACCATTATTATTTATTATTACACCATTATTACTTAAAAATGTTGGCATCGCTTTTTGTCAAAATACTGGTGTTTTAAGTGGAGAAGTGACAGTGATCCGATATTAATTTTGCTCCGGGCCTTGTTTCGTCCAAAGTGTATTCGAATTAGCGGCGCATCTGTAGGCTTAGCCCATCTCATAGTCAATTTCGTCATTGGTCATTCATTTCTGTTAAACTTTGTCCACTCAATTTCATCAATTCGCATCCAATTTCGTCAAAGTCATTTCAAGTTCTTCGTCTTCGTCTGTCATGATCACATTTATGTCTTATTCATTATATCTCCAATGTTTTCTAAATGTTTTAAAATAATATATCTCTGTGGATCATAGTTTAATCTAGCTTTATGTCCCAAAAGCAGTCTTATCATGCCATTTTTCGTCGTAACTCTCTGTTAGCTCGTGTTTACCCCAATGGAGGAGAAGTATGTGGTTAAACATTTTCAACATATGAATTTATAATTATGTTATCATTCCAGAATTATAGATTAATCTGTTTTTTCCTTTTGCCTTTTTTCTTCAAAATTCATATGTATTTATTACATAAGTTTATAATCATCGTAATTTGAAGGATCCACATTCTACAAAACCTGCTCCTCAGTAGATTCGTCCATTCCACAATTTTTACTTCAAAAAAGAGGACTATGATCATCATCATAGTATACAAATATACACTGTCTTGAGAGGTGCTGGATAAAACTAAGCGCAAGAGGTGACTCCAATAGTACTATTTGCTGAGGGGCGCAGCCCTGAAGCAAATGGTACTTTTGGAGTTCCCGAGGCCCATAGTTTTAACCAGTACGTCGAATAGAAGGCATGGTATATTTGTTTCATATCCTGCATTAAAAATTTATTTTATAAAAAAGAAGAAAAAAAAACATTTTTGGGAAGAAAACAAAAAATTAGAACAATAAAAATGTCAATTTTTATCAAAAAGATTTAAAATATTTTGTTTTTTTGTAAATTAAGATTTTAAGAAAGAAAAAAAATTCAATTAAAAAAAAAAATCACACTTTTTTTCAACTCCCAAATAGTACTCTCATATAGTAATTTCTAAAAATATTTAAAAAAATTATACATTACATTTGTATTCAGCCAAATCATTTCTCTACGATAGCTATCAAAAGTACATGATGAGCTTTTTTAATTCAAATAATGATTCTCAAATTTTGATTAGATTAATTTACATTGATTTCTGTGATTGATTTCTTGTCGTAATTTTTTATATTGATTTTATGTTGGAATGAAAATAAAACTGAAACACTGTCTAAAATGCTGTTAAATTTAATCACCTGTAGGGCTGTAAATTGTTAGTAATTGGCATCTAATTCAAACTAACGTACAAGATATAAGGAATTGTTTTATTGAGATTGACGGCTTTCCTGTCATTGCAAAACAATCTTTAATTTTGTTGGGAGTCACTTTCGACTTCCATTTAAATTAATTAAAGTATTAATACTGGATTACTGTATAAGCTAATGAAATTTATTTCTGAAAGCTCTATGATTATATTTAATAATTCTTAAATTGTATCACATTTGTCATATTGTAATATTTTATGGGGGCATTGTGGTATAACAAGAATCTATTCCTTATTTTTGCTTTAAAAGAGAGCAATTCGCATGATTACTTACGTTTGCATGACGACATAAATCCCGGATCAGTTGTCGTCGGAGCCCCTCTAAAGTGTTGGGAGCCCAAAATTCGCAAAAACATTTGGTGACAAGATATCACTTAAATTGTATCATGATGTTAAAAAGGATGTCATTTAAGACACACTTCTGCAAAGTTCTTCAAAAAAAAAATATGTTTGAAGACAAATATTGAGAAAAGAATACTTAATTTGGGTTTTCTGTAGACACAAAACCTAAATGTTGTATTCTTTCATCGATATTCTACTTCAAACACATTTGTTTTGAAAATCCTTGCAGAGATGTGTCTTAAATGGCATCCTCTTTCACAGTATCATACAATTCAAGGGATATTTTGCCAATCCAATTTGGTACGTGGTACTTGGTTGTTGTTCTTCCAAAAGATGTGGCTCCCAACTCTTAAGAGGGGCTTTAAGGTGATAGTCCACTGCCTGGAGTGACTCCTTGTTTTTTTCTTTCTTGTTTTTTCAATAGTTTTTTTATCTATTTAAAATATGTTTTTTTAAATCATTTAAACGAGGCTACAATAGCCATAATAGCCCAGTGTTAAAAGTTTATGAAAAGTTCACGAAAAGTTCACTTGTTCCCACTTCACTTGTTGCGTGCGTGATCAGCTGATTAAATAGCACACCCTCAAAGCTGAAACGGAGACAGTACATGCCTTTCATTAGGGACTTTTAGATTTGCGTGGACTGATACGTGTGACGTCCATTCAAGGCAGTGCCATAAAAGGTCGACGACCGTAGCAATCAACATTGTCTCCGTGCGAATCTAAAAGTCCCCATTCTTACCATCGCAAATGACGAATGTATTTTAGGGGGTCGTACGATCTGTGTGGATTGTGTTTACGGGAGGAGGACAAAGATGATTGAAGGATAAAAATATACAACAACGAACAGTATGTAGACTATCAAGATGGATGATTCTGGAATTCCCCATACCTCAGCAGAGCTTCTCATTTGGGGAATTCCAAGCTGTATGTTACATATCATGACAAGATTTCTCCCGCTGTTGGGGAAAACCCACACAATGTTTTTTTTTATTCGCGTGTGTCTGCAGAGGTTTATTGCTTTTGTTTGGAGATGAACTAAAAGTATATATTTTAAAGCCCCACTGCACTACTTATAGCAACTTGCGCCCTCTATATAGCAAACAATGCCTAATCGGTGACCATGGTCCCTTTCTAATGTCAATTGAGAGCTGATTTGATGATAAAACCACCTGTCAGTGTCTATGCAGGGAGGTATAATTCCTCCTGGCCAAACTAGTGCTGAGGGGCTTAAGAATTTAAAAATTTGGGGAACATTTGCTATTTCAGTGAACCATAAATGCTGCCATATTTGGACGAAAATTCACAAAAATATTCGTGACAAAGGAATGTGGAATTCGCAATGTTTTCATCAGCTCTCGAATTGCCACGTGACGTAACTACAGGCTGCACGGGGGGGGGGGGAGAACCGCCCCCCCCCCCTCCCCCTCCATTACCCTCTCCTCGTACGGCGAAAAAAAAATCTAAGAGGGGGGATCGAGGGAAGGAGGGAAACCATGAAAGGATATGATTAAATGTCCTTTAACACCCTGGCCCATTGATGACCTTGTTATCGGACCAGCCACTATCGCCCCCCCCCCCCCCGCCCCGCCTCGCCACCACGATGTAATCGATAATTTGCGTAATGTAACAACATTAAATGCCTTCGTCTTTGTGAAGTACCCCAATACAATTATTTCGTTCAACTGTAATGAAATATTGTATTTCAAAAGGCAGAATGCAAATTGCATATAGGCTATTACATGTTGTTAGGTGGACCAAGCCATAATTTTTTTCCTGGTAACTACTAATGTATGCAGCTTGCATTCTCACTATTGAAATACAATTATTCGTAACATATTATTGAAATACTGCCTATCGAGGAACTTTGGATATGCATTAGATTTGGTTACATTGCGAAAATAGTCTATTCCTTGCTGCTGAATTTGCCATTTTGTTAATGTAGTCAATTTTAATGCACAAATCTTTTTCAAATGCTTTATTACAAATTATTTTATTCACATGTGTGTGGAATAGGGTTTTTACATGTACAGACGTGTATCAATCAGTTATTTACGTCTGGGGACCGACCTTTAATGTCACCATCCGAAAGACGTGACTCAGTTTCGAACCGGTGTCGCCTGAGCCAGTTTGTAGGCGAAGAAAAAGAGCGGACCAAGTACACGTGCCGCTAGACCAACTCACATCATCATTTCATTAACCTGTTACGAATAACTATATTTCAATAGTCATGAAGCGAATTACATACATAAATTGTTGCTAGGTAGGACAAACATTATGGCTTGTTTTACCTAACAACGTGTTATGTATTCAATTCGCAATCTGACTTCTGAAATCAGAAGCGGATCTAGAGGGAGGGTTGGGGGGGTTGCAACCCCCCCCCAAAAAAAAAAAAAAAAAAAATCCGGGGACCATTTTTTTAAATCTTATCTTTTTGTTTAAACTTGTAATTTTATTTTATTCTATTTCTATGTATTTATTTCATTTATTATTATTATTATTATTATTATTATTATTATTATTATTATTATTTCTTTTTGGGGGGAGGGTGGGGGGTTGGGCGAACAAATGTCACAGAGTCCCTTGCCCCCCCCCCCCCCCCTATCAGCTTTTTTGAGGACACGGGCCACCGCCGAAGTGACAAGCTAGGCCAGCGTTGCCGATTCTCATCCCCAAAATCCCCACATTAAAAAAAAAAAAAATGGGGGGATTGTTGAAGTCTTTGGGGATGAAAAATAAATATTTGGGAATGAAAATAATATTGAGTTTTATGAAAAACGAATTTGGGGATTTTCTGTCAAAATTTGGCAACTTTGGGGATATTTTAAGTGTCGTTTGGGTGGGGATTTTGTGAAGATTTAACATGGTAACGCACGCTGAGCTGGGCTGCTCATTTCCTGGATTACTTGTTCAAGTTGCTCACTTTTTTATCAGTCTGGTCTGAGTGTAGTGACAAGCAATATGGAAGCAAACAGGGCAAAGAAGTTGCGGCAATCCAGTCTCGCATCTTTTTTTACTGGAAGGTATGTTTGAATCATGCAAAAAAGTTGGCATACAGGGTAAATTACCATACATGGGGGTGTAATACGGACGTGTTCATGCACTGCTTTTTATGGTCTCCATTGTGTTAATAGATGCCAGGAAAACATCACTTACGGGGTTCAAATAAACACCCAAAAAAAAATCGGCTCGCCGCTTCACGGCTCGTGGACGATGCTCCGCATCGTCATTATTGGTCAACCCCCCCCCCCCCCCTTAGCAAAAAGCTAGATCCGCCCCTGGAAATACAATTGTTCGTGACAGGTGAATAAAATAAAATTCATAACTAGGCACTTAACAAAGATTTGTGCATTCAATTCGATTGCATTAAGAAAATGCTTTATTACTGGGCCAATGATTATCCCTATCAGTGAAATGGTGAAACATACATGATTTGTGTCCTCGCGTTTTTTAAAGGTAAAGATCAGTATTGGAAACGCCCCAATTTCAAAAAATGAAATGGAAGCTCTCATCACCAATCATGTGAAAGAATATGTTTTGACTAATACATGATGATAAAAAATTTGCCGGGAAACCGCCTACTAATTAATATATTTGGTAAATTTGTTTCTCTCATGGTCTGTGAGAGATATAGGGTAGTCCCATATACATCTTTCTGTGTATAGTGCTTGTAACTTTACGAAGAATGGGCCAAATTTCTTATCATTTTGATGATTCCAGAACCTTGCAGATGCTAGATGCTAGATGATCAACCTTTTCTGATCGATTCCACAACGTTTCTTTCACAATGCAATCGCATGACCATAACTGGTCTTTACCTTTAACTGTTTAGGCAAAATACATGTACTGGTTTCAAAAATCGCGGCCTAAATATATCAATTTTTGAATGGAATCAAGTGGCACAATCCTGGCCTGAAACGGAAAAGAATCTAACCGATTCAATTACTGCATTCCCTAAAACTATGGTTGGCATTTAATGCCACGAAGATCGATCAAAATGACTTTTTTTTAATTGTATTTAATTGTTAACGGTTTTGACCAATCAGCGAGTAAAAGACAGGTCAACTTCATTTTTCATTAAACCACGCGCCCGAAGCAGGTACTTTCGTAAAATGAAAGATGATTTTACACAAATCATCGATTGGTCCGGTTGCATAACTTGATTGCAAGCTAGAGGTCTTCTCAAAACTTTTTTTTAATTGAATATTTATATTTCTAACTTCCCAAATTTTCGTCGCGGTTAGATTGCTTCCCGATTGATGCTTTTTTTGACAAAATATTGATGATTCCACATCATTTTTATTTTCACAGGTTATCAAGAACGAACCAAAGAAGCCTGACACTCAACAAACATGAAGATCATCGTTGCCATAGTCTTTACTCTCTCAACCGTTAGTGCGACAGGCCGGTCAGGGCGCGTTTGGCCCGATCCAACCGAGTTTAGTCTAGTAGACGCCCTGCAATACACTTGCACCGACCTACTACCTGGATTGGAATATTTGAACTATTTCAGTGATCACTTTGGCGATTTCAAGATTGGACTGCAACCCATATGTACCGTCTTCCAAAAGCCTGGCGGTCCTTCCGAATTTGACGCTACGAAGTTCTGCAATTTCGTCGTCGACTTTTTCGGGCTCGATGACCTAGACCTGGTGAATTCTCCTGGTGTTGGTCCTCAAAGTAAGCTAGACATGCTAGCCTACTTTTTCGACAGAATCTTGGTCAATACCACCAGAAACCTATCTGGAAAGGACCTCAAAAACCTCACAACCATCTGTCCCTACGCCCATCGGTTCTTTCCATCTCCTTTCCAGGAACTTCTTGAAGAATTCTTGACCGAGTATTACACTGAGCTAATAGGCGCCCTTATCCCCGAGATCGAATCCATTTGCCAGGACTGGAAAGGTTACTTTGCTAGGTTGGGCGTGCCAGACGACTCTCCTTACCAGCAGTTGATTGGTGGTCTCGTAGATATCGTCCCGGAGCTTATGGGGTTTCGAAGTTATGAGAACATGTGTAACAAGTTGAATCCATGGTTCGGCCGAGGTAAATGAATCTCAATTAACTTTAAGTCAAAAATCTATGCAATTCTTTTCATATTTACATTTCATGTCCCAGTCTTTCTTTTTTGAATAAATAGAGCAATGTTTACATGGGAATGACTTGTTGACACCTGGCCACCCATTAAAAGATTAAGCAGTGGACTAAGTCAAGCCAGCCTTAACTTAAGCTGATTTTTAGAGTATAGGCTTTTTTGTTTTAACGTTATCTGTGTTTTTGTATCCTTATACTCCATAGATTATGCTGGTCGGAGATTGTACGCCAATACGTTCGTCACCTTGATGAAGGAAGTATTAAAGTGCACAGGCGATTCATGTGCTTAGGCCTCCGTCTATTATCCGTGAACTAAACTGGAAACCACCGCCAAAAAAAGACACTGTTTTTCTGCATGTAAATTAATGTCAATTACGCGCAACAAAGGTCGATCTCGAGCGTAGTCACTGGGCTATGTGGTTGTGAAATAAGAAACAGAAATCTGTCGCGCATTACATGTGAACTGAACATCATCTATAACAAAAAATATATATACAGTGCGTCCCAGAAAAAACGAAACCGAGATTTATCGATGTTTTATCATAACTTGATCACATTTATAATTAATAAATGACACATATTTGGAAAGCCGAGATCCTCCTCTTTCATCTGATGCAACTCACATAATGCATACTTGACGCATGAGTGATTCAAATGAATTTGAAGAGAGGAAACCAAAAAGTGATTTGGCGGACGGTATCTTAATTTTAAAGAGAAAATCACAATTCTATAAAGTTGAGTTTCTGCCCTTTTATATGACACCTTAATCACGAAAAATGAGCAAGGAAAAACAAAGTTCTGTATGTTTAAAATAGTGCTTGCATTTCCATAATTTTATCAAACGAATTCGTTTTCACTAGCTGCCTGCCTTAGCAACAAACGGAATTCACAACAGACTTAACTCCGCTTCGTTGACAATCGGCCGTAGACGAAAGACTTGATGCATGGCTGATTGTCAACGAAACGGAGTCAAGTCTTTTGTCAATTCTGCTTTTTGCTACGGCAGGCAGCCAGTGAAAACGAATTTGTTTGCTAAAATTATGAAAATGTAAGGGCTACTTTAAACAAACAGAACTTTGTCAATCCTTGCTCATTTGTCCTGATTGAGGTGTCATATGAAAGGGCAGAAACCCAACTTACTAGAAATGTGATTTTCTCTTTGCAATTCAGATACCGCCCGTCAAATGACTTTTCGGTTTCCTCTCTTCAAATTGATTTTAATCACTCATGCGTGAAATATGCATTATAGAGGAGGATCTAAGCTTTCCAAATATGTGTCATTTATTAATTATAAATGTAATTAAGTTATGATAAAACATCGATACATCTCGGTTTCGTTTTTTCTGGGACGCACTGTATATAAAAATTTAAGGCGGCTTTGCTGCGGCGTATCTGAACGAGGCCTTAGATTACCTCTACAAACGCTTTTATTAGAGAGAAGGCTAAGTCCTGGTGGAGGTTAAATAAATATTTGTGAGCTTTCTCTTTCCTTTTTATGCTAGTGTAGAAGAGTAACTTTTTTTAAAAGATGGCCCCTGAAAAGGATGGCTCGACAAACTATGCATGCTATTCAATATGGCAAGAAATGTCTAGAGTGTTTGGAGTGTTTAGACTAAAGTTGCATGCAACATGTTTGTGTACTTAATCCTAACATGTTTGTGTCTTATGTATACTACTCTCAATAGGACTAATTCAAATTTCTTTTTTCTTGATTCTGCCTAAACCACGTATAACGTACAGCAGAATAAATCAATATCATGTGCTACATGATCAACCTTTTCAAACAATTGCTTACAGACACTTTCTGTCACAATGCAATCACATGACCAGAATTGAACTTTATCATCTTAAAGTAAAATAAGCAGTTGAAGACAATACTGATATACTATATTTTCACCGAGATATGCCCACTGCATAAGAGGCGCCATTTTGGCCGACGCATGATGTGGGTGCTTTTTACACAGTTTTAAAAATTAAAAAAAGTATATTTAATTACTGACGTAAGGGCTATTTGTTTTCCTCGTCACAGTTTTGATTAACGCAGGTTCGGACACTTTCAAACGTCGCCTCTTGTGTAGCGGGCGTTGGATTATCCTACGAACATGTTATCAAAAGAGTTACGTCAGCGTTTTTCAACTTTTTCATAGTCGCGGCACCCTTTACATAAATAGTGAATAAACAGTTTCTCGTCACCCCATTCCCAAATTCATCACAGAAGATTCATTTAGCATCACGCTGGAAATCGTAAGTGCCATATACACGTATGGGCACACTCTTCTTTTCTAATTGCGAGTAAGCGAAGCGAGCCAACACAACATGCTCGGTCACCTCACGAATATGAGGATATTCGGTGAATTCGTTGCCCAGAATCAGCTTGTTTCTATATATTCCTAGCGAGTGAAGCAAACGAGTGTGTTGTTATATATTTTCGATATTTAATAATATATATAAGATATATTCAGACACCTCCCTGTCACATACCTATTCTGACATCTCGTTGCCAAAAATGTAAAGATATTCAGGCATTACTGCCTGAAATAATCAAGTTTCTAAATGTTGAGAGCGAGTGAAGCAAGCCAGGAGAAAGTAACACTTAATTATTTTTCAAATATTATTTTATAATGAAGATGGATAGCCATTCATATTATTTTGCTTTACGAGTTTGACGTCAATTTAGTAACTGATTTGGAAAAAAATGAATCTTTAATAAATTTCTCTCGCGGCAAGATTCAAGATTTATTTATTTCTTTCCACTTGCATAAAAAAAACATTTCATTCAGTAACAGTAGTAACAAGTTCATCGTAAACTAGCATAAATACATTAACAATGAAACAGTTATAAAGACTTTAACAAATGTGGAAAAAGAGGTGGTCTGTTAAAAAAGCACAGCTTGTTAAAACACAGATCACCTTTACAGAAACAATATTTTTTTTTTAAAGAAGTAGGTTATATTACAGGGGGAGGGGGACTAATACTAATCTAGTTACCTATACAGACTATAAATAAATATCAGATCTACCACTAATTTACAAAATATGGTAGACTAAAAAAGAAAACAGAATAAAGATAATGGAAAAGTAAAGAAATAGGGAAAGGAGGATAATGTACAACACGGGGGGGGGACAAAGCTATTCCAGTTACCTATATTGAATACTAATAAAAATCAGATCTATTCACTGTAGGTGTACAGTAGATGAAATTTCAGCTTACGTTTGAAGACAGAAGAGCTTACAGACTGCCTAATAGAACAGTCTAAAGAGTTCCAATACTTTGGTCCAGTATGTGCAAGTGTATTAATCCTAAGCTGAGTTCTAGCTGATGATACATGGTATAAGGCAGCCTGCCTAGTAGAGTATTTGTGTATTTGGTTATTCTTTACAAAAATAGTTGCTATTGACATGGGAGCTTCACCCTTCTCCAACTGATACATAAGATATCCCAGATATAGAAAATATATATCTTTTACCTTCAGCATTTTATTTTCGTAAAATAGCTTGTCAGTGTGAGCACGCCAATCAGCTGCCGAAATAATTCTCACTGCTCTCTTTTGAATGAGCAGAATTTTATTTAAGTAGGATTTGGCTGAGGTACCCCAGGCTAGCACACCATAATTTAAGTATGGCAAAATTAAGGAACAGTACAACATGCTAAGTACTTTTCTTGGGAATACAAACTTCAAGAGATGTCTGTCACGCCAGTTGAAAAACGCTGAGTATTCCTATTTCTATGGTTAGAGTAATGTATTAAAATGTAAGTAATTAAGTAGTTAAATCTTGTACTAGATATCCACGAACCTGCGCGATTGTGGATGTGTGTATGTGTGGGCGTATGTGCGTGCGTTATTTCTAAAGTGGGAGCAGCTCAGTGTTAATTAAGATTTTTTCCTCTCCATCGTGAGCTTGTTAGAGTGTAACTATATTTCGCAGCCTGTTTAACTTAGTTATTTAGTATATTTCTTGAGTTGAGAATATTTGCAGATATCCACTGAGTGATTAGTTTGTGTGTGTGTTGTGTGGGTGTGTTTGTGTGAGGGAGGGTGGCATGGAGAAGCAAGACTTTCTTCCTTGTACCAATAACATAACCTACAGATTTGTTTAAGTTGTTTTATATAGAGTAAATAACATGTACAATTGATTTGAAAATAATGTTTATGTACTTCAAGTTCACTTTGTTGCTCAGTTATAATATAGTGCAAAAGATGATTTATTAATATTGAAAAGGTTTATTTTGTGTTCAATTGTATGTTGTTCTTTTTGGTATTACATTTGGAGAAATAATACAAAATAACCCCCCCCCCCCCCAAAAAAAAAAAAAAAAAAAAAAAAAATATGAATGTATAAGTTCATGTTACCTTATGCCATGCTGTTAGTATGTGACTCGTAAAAGCTCGAAGTTAAAAATCAATACTGAATTAAAGAAACAATTAAAGTCTCTCTGTAAATATATAAACACGCTTGTAGTCTTGTCTGCAGACACAGAACCTTGTCATTATGACATTGGTAAAGCGTAGCAGAGGGTCTGAAGTTGTACATAATGTAGATCAACTCCATTGGTCATATATCTACTCCTGAAACCGACAATGTTAGTCAAGGCTCAAGACTTCACGGAATTGTGTTGTTTCATCAAATTAGTCCTAGTAAAATTGATGGATTCCTATTTTCTCGTCCAGATCTTGGGTTCCATATTATTTAATATTTAATAGCTTTCCTGTACCTGAAAATGCAGGGTATTGCAATATCGATACATATTATCTTAGATACTTTATTTTCATTTGATTTCGTTGTTTCATGCACTTTAGAGGCTCTAAACGAGGTGAAATTGTTTACTTGGTAATTTATGTATATCATTTTTTTAGAAAACATCAGATCCTTGACTTCAAATTTCAGCACAAAATTATCAAATTAATTCAAAATAAGACAAGCCATACAATAAAGGGAAGGGTGAGAATTTAGGAATTTAATTCTTTTTGGCTTTATATATGCATCCATGATTATCATTTATTTGTCAAATTGAATCATTTTTTATCGTCGAACATGAATCTTTAAAATGTTTATTGCTTAATTTTTTGTTCTGTTTCAATTAAAACGCTAATCCTAAAATAAACTCTTGGTTTAATTCTAATAGTTGTTTGCCGATTGTATTTGTTTCCTTCACATATTCTATTAAGCCACTAAAACTGAATTTGGTGAGAGTAAATAATTAACTATGCCCCCGAGACCAACAAGGGTCCAGACTGTTTCGTGAACCTTCTTTCAACTTATTCTGATGATCCACGAGACCGGTGGCTCACGGAATCTAAAACCAGTAAGGCTGACATAATATCTGACTGCTTTTCTTACGTGTTTCTAAGCCCCTTTTTATCATTTTGTTGTTGTTGTAATATCACCTCCTGGAGAAACTATAGAATAAGCCATAACTAATTAGAAATGTACAAGAACGATCATCTGGGCCCCGTCCTATAAACGGTTGCGATAACCGCATCTTATTTGCGATTGATATCAATCGCAACTATATACAGGAGAGATAAGAGACTGCAAACTTGCGATTGATCAGAAGACTTGCGATTGATTCTAATCAATCGCAACTCTTCATAAAGACGGGGCCCAGATGTCCGTTCTGTTCTTTATCATGTACATTTGTTTCTTTTCTATGTCTTTCCTTTTTTAATATCTAAGTTTTTCATTTTCTCATCTTCTTTTTGCTC